TTGAAAGAAAAAGAATTTTAGTTTTAATGGGATGCAAAAGGGAAGAAAAAGTCTACAGGGATACTAGCAAAATAGTCCTAAAATTATCATGCAAAGTTGATGCTATAGTTGAGGATAAAATAGGGAAATATCTACCTAATACTATCATGCATGGATAAAGATCCAAAGGTCTAGTTAGTTCAAACTTAGAGAATATTGAACTAAGATCCTATGGGGAACATATAAAAGGAGAAGCCAACAAATAAAGAATAAGGATGACAAAACATCACAAAGATGATAAAACACCAGAGAAGCAAACATACAAGATATGGGGCAAAGGGAACATACAACGCATACGATGGGGATGGCCAAAAGAGGCAAGAAACATTGTCCAAATAAAAAAAAAGTAAAGATAAAAATAAGAGAGATCATAATTGAAGAATTATGCCATGTGTGACTTGTATAGTAAGTTAACTCGAGATGAGACTCAAGAGCAACCAAGTAAGAAGACGAAACTTCCTACACAAGAAAAGTCACCTGATTGATGAACAAAATCATATAAGATGGGTAATACTTGTCTTAAACCAAATGAAATGGATAAAGCTCAAGTAGAAGTGCAATGACATCTTGTATATCATGGGATGATGATGATACCCTCTCAAGACATCAATCATGAACTTAAAAACTCGAGTAATGTCAACAAGATAACATACTCAAGTGTCATGATATATGGCAAAGTATAGTCCATTGATGCATAAAAGCAGCGTGATTTAAATAAATCAAAGGTCAATGTCCTTAGATATTATAGGCAGTCGCCAACATCGAGATACATACATGGGACCTGGCACAAAAGCCCGTGAGAAAATCACTAGACAGTGATGCTCTAAATACAAATAGAATATAGCTTCTCATCTATCACCATGTTGGTTAGTAATGAAGTACGTAACCAAGGATCAAAGAAGCTGAAGAAATAATTTATAAAAAAAAGAGATGATAAAAACATCAAGATAAGAAAATGATAAAACATCACAATTAAAGATAGAAAAACATCAAGCACGAACGTATAGGTAGAAACCTAGATCAATAAGAGAGGAGATGGTAAAACATCACATAATATATGACAAAACATGAACACGTAGAAGATAAGGCATTAAGCACACACATGTTAGGACGAAAAAACGTCACATCTTAAAGAAGGCAGAATGATAAAACATTAACACCTAACAATGATATTTAGGATCAAAGTAGGATAAGAAATGATGACGAAACATCGTATGGAAAAACATACACCTAACAATGTTATCGAGAATCGAAGTAGGATGAAAAAATAAGAGATGGTAAGACGTCACATCTAACGATGATAGTAAGAATCAAAATAGGATAAAAGATAGGAGATGTAGATTAGACAATCACACACCACACATGAGATGTAGAGACTTACTCAAGATATAAGGTACATAGATAAGACACCTAAAGAAAACATGCTTAGATAAGCAAGTAAAGAAGAACATGCACGTAGGTAGACACCTAAACAAGTAGTCAGGTAGAAGAAGAGATAATATTTAAATAATCAAAGCATGATTACAAAGGTAAGACTTTTAATCATGCATCAATATGTAGGGATGATAAGTAAAGAGAAGTATGATGATACCTAACGGAGAAGGTCTGTTTCCTCTTTAATGCACATGAGATAAGAAAACTTTACTGAACGCCTCCTTAAACAACCTCAATCAACCATCAATTAGGCATACCCGGGTCACATCAATGATCAATCGCAAGATCAAAGCATAAGTGTCCACAAGATAAATGGAATGTTTGGTGTATAAGAGTTGAATCGAGTTATGATTAACCAACGGGTGTACTTGATTAATCTCGTGAGAGTAAGTACTCCTACCTTCAACCATGAGACCCTTTGTGCATGGAACACTTGGTATATGGACCAAAAGGGTTGATTCGAGTTATGATTAATCAAGGGCGAAACTTGATTAATCTCGTGAGAATGGTCATGCCCAAACTCAACTATGAGACCCTTTTGATGCATGGAAACATTTGGTATATGAACCAAAGTGATTGATTCGGGTTATGATTAATCAAGGGAAAAACTTGATTAATCTCATGAGAATGGCCATGCCCAAACTCAACTATGATACCCTTTAAGAAAAGGTTGGTATATGGACCAAGGAGAGAGAGAGAGAGAGAGAGAGAGAGAGAGAGAGAGAGAGAGAGAGAGAGAGAGAGAGAGAGAGAAGTTGCTTCAATGCATAAGATATAAATCAAAAGCCCATACGAGATGTCAATATGCATGCTTCTAAAAGTAAGACTAGTGTGGCTCTTGTATTCTAAACGACCAATTGGAACAACCGATCGAATAGTTATTACTGTAGGAAAGCCCAGGACCAAACTATGAACGTGTGCAAGTGTGCATGTGTAGGTGGATACCTGCTCATTGATGACGAGCCCAAGAGGAGGCCAAGTGTTTTAATTGGACGGAATATGCATAATAGCAATGATTAAAACATATAAAGAAATAATAAAGAAAATAAAATTCTAAGTATTACAAACCATATGGTAATGGGGGTACAAGTTTATGAATGGGGATGTATCGAATCGACAATACGATTAAAAGTCTAAATAAACATGCAATACAACCCAATTTAATTAAATTAAACAACTAATTAAATTGAACTATCTTATTTAATAGAATTAATTAACAAAATATTTAATTATATTAAATATTATTTTCCAACCTAATTAATTATTTAAAATAAAATGTATTTTTGTATTTTTAATTGATAGAAATCAAAATAATTAACCAAATAATATTACAAACAAATATAAAAGAAAAAAGAGAATGGGCCTGAAATAAGCAGAAATGGGGGGATGATGGATTGCATTTCGTTGGGCTTATCATTTGAGCCCAAGTTGTAAAAAAAACTTCCACATGATCCTATGTGGAGCGCTCCAGGAGGTCTATGGTGCGCACGCGAGCTCTGGAGATTTGATGCTTGAAATGAGATGATCAGGCAGCAATCTGACGGTGAAGACGCGAGGGTGCATCACAAGGTTGATGGAAAGCCAACTAGAAATCTCGTATAGCCTCTTCTGGAAGGGTGCATCGTGGATAGAGGATCTGGAACATCAGATCTGGACTTGTAGAGATTTAGTGGTGATGAGATAAGGTGTATGGTCACTATGATGAGATGCCCGCATAGAATCAGGAAACGGCCACAAGGGCGGTGACAAGTGTCACCGCCAGATTAACTACTTAATCAACAATATATTAACAAAATACAATAAAATTAACAGTGTTAACCACAAAAATTATAACGCTTCTTCCCTCTTGGATATATTCTTTCGCTTCTCTCTATGTTTATTCAACGACAAACATCTTTTAAAAAAAGAAAACAAAAATATGAGAGATCTGGAAGGTGGTGGTGATGAATGTCCGCGATTGGGAAGATGAACACTCGCGATGGAGGACGGCGGCGATGCCGCGACTTGCTCCGATCTCACTTTTTCTTACATCTTCTGCTTCGTCTTTATCTCCTCTTCTCTAATGTATCGTTTGATTTTTCAGGAAAAACATATATCAAAGTAGATCTTTAAAGGGGATTAGAAAACCCTAGACCAGAATTTAACAAATATGAACGAGAATACAAGAAATCATAAGAGAGAAGGGAAAAAGGAATAAAAAGATGCGGAGCCTATGATATTTGCGATCCACAACTTCCTGGTGAGATCTCTTTGATTCTATGTTTCAGTGATCTTCTTTCTTCTTTGTAGCTTGCGAAATCTTTCTTTCTTCTTTCTTTCACTATTTCTGAAGGGTTTTATGAAGCTAGAAAATGATGATTCTCATATTTAGGGTTTTTTGTTGTGATTGTTGCGTCCGTTTAGGTTTTTTCTGTGAACAATGGCTTCCTATTTCTTGAATTGTAGAATCCCCCCTGAAACTTATGCAATTGAATGCTTTTATAGTGAGACTGAAATTAGGTTTTTCTGTGTTGGTTCTCTGAGATTTTAATAGGCTTGAAATTTTTTGCATTTGGGCTTAGCAAATTGATATTTCTGTTATGATATGTGAACTTATTTCTAATATGTTGATGTCTGTGAAAACTAGAAACTGAACGTGCTGGGCTTGGAAAATGCGATTCTGACTTATGATTTTGAGTGCTATTTTTGATGTCTGATATGCCATTTTTTATATCTGATTATTGTAAGTGGGCTGGTCTTTTATTGAGTTTTCACTTTTGATTTGTGATACTTCTTGTTGGGATTGACATTTATTCTAACTTACTGTTTTGGGTTGGAATTATGATATCCCTGCGTTTTGTTACTGCAGTGAACTGTTTTTGTCTTTACCGTGAACCAAAAATTTGGCTTTTTGTGATTTGCAGTAAAGATTATGGGCCTGTGATTGAAACTTGAGATTCTGATTTGTATGAGATCAACATGTTTTTTAGGCTTATGTTGTCGGGCTTTATGATTTCTGCCTTGTTATGATTCAGAAATGTCAACTTTTGCTATGATAATTTGTTTGCTTATTGGGCTTTAAATATGACTTTTGACTTGCTGCTTTACTACATGGACCCATGATGCTATGTAACGGAGATAAAATTTTGAGTTTCTTTGTCTTTTTACACCTCCCTTTGTGAACCAAAACTAAACTTTTGTGATTTGTAATAGGAGAATAGGCCCATGATTATGTACTGAAATTCTGATTATTGCTTGAGAAATAATGTATGAGGCCTTCTTGTAGGATTTGTGAACATGATTGAATTCAAATTCCCTAATTCTGATTCCTTGTTCTAAACCCTTATGATGAAATTTGTAAAAACTCTCTTTGAAATCTTTCATTGCTTGTGCTCAAGTTTAATTATTTTGATTGCTTGCTAACATTTCTTTTTCTTGTTTCATGAGTTGCTGGCTCAGATGAGCTTGGAAAGATGATGAGGGAAGATTTTGAAGATGAAGTTGAGGCAATGGCTATGGTGAGCTTGAAGATTGAAGGAGAATGAGTCTTAAATGGAACTTGGAGAAGTGAAGATGAAGACCTCATTAACGATCTTAGGACTTAGATTAGGATCCTTTATATATTGCAAAAGCTTAGGCATTAGGAAAATGTTTTGTATTCTAAAGGCTAGGAATTTGAAAGCTCTTGTGATATTGGCTTTGGTCTTGTAATTAAACTTCAAAGCTTGATTTTTGAATGACGATGAAATATGTTTCAACTTAGATATTGGAAACTGGGATGCTTTTGAATCTTTATGTAAGCTTGCCATTATTGTTGAAAATTTTGAACAAATACTTGAATCAATCTTGTGATCATGATAATACCACTTGAATTTAAGAAAAAGTTTTTATCATGGTTTAGGTGTTCATGTAGAATTTTGAACTCTTTGCACTTTGAATCCAAGTTAAAACTCCACATTTGAAATTCTTGATCCAAAACATGAGTTATCTTGACACCTTATAATTCTCTGAAAGTTGAATGATATATACCACTTAAAAAATCAGTTGAATTATTACCATTTTGCAAATTTACACTTTATTGGAAACAGACAAGAATTTGAATCTAAACGAGTCTTCTCACGCTTGAAATCTCTGCCATGTGGAATTTGAATTTGAACTCTTTATGAACATCCAAACCAAAGGTTGAAACCACATGGTAAGCCCCAAAAAATCTAAATCTCTTCATTTGATCTTGCATCATATCTTCACCACTTGCACTCAAAAATTAAATCCACAAGTAACCAAATATTCTTGATCCCATCACAATGTATGAAAGCAATGAAATATGATGATTATGATGAAACATAAGCCTAAAAATTATGAAGTCAAGAGGGTAAATTTTGGGGTGCGACAGCTGCCCCTGTTCAATAATCTTAAGCTTGATAAGTGAGAAAAGAGACAACTTTTGAACGTTCAAAGTTGAAGATGATTGAATATGAAAGAACCCTAAAATTTACACTCCTGAAAAAGAAAAAAAACCCAAACCAAAGACAAAGAAAGCCAGCAGCCGTGGGACTTATAAGGTACCAAACGAAATTGGATTTAGCAAGTAGAAGGTCTAATGAAAATTAGCCCTTCAAAGACATGTGTCAGAATGAAGTTGTACGCAGACTTTAACAAAATTGAGACAAAACTCAAACTTAGAAGAGTAGATGAAACTAAACGTCATAAAAATGTGTCACGATAAAACCGGACCACAAAAGGGGTGAGATAAGACGCAAACTGCGGAGAATAGGCAAAACTAAACTCTGGAAAAGTACACAGGGCAAAGTGGCTAGAGCACGTGATTCTAGGAGCACCTGCTAGTCTCAACCATGGGAAGACAGTGAGATGGAACTGAAAGATCCCAAAAGTTATAAAAGAGACAAGTTTCAACCCAAGATAGACAGTATGAAGGAACTGAAAGAATCCAAGGAGTAAGAAACAAAACGAGATAAAACTCGACTCATAAAGACTAGTTAGATAAAACGAACTAGAGTTGAGTACCAGGGAAAAACAAACTGGATTTCACGCACAAGTAACGAGGAAAAATCGACCCATAGCAAAGTGATGAGAGTGCATGTTTCTCAGAGCACCTGCTGGTCTCTAACCACGGGTAAACAATAAACGAAAACTGACTAGAACCCGAATAAGTATAAAAGAGACATCTCAAGTCAATGGGCACGACAAATGAAAGTCGTAATACATAAAACAAACACTATCAAAGGTTTAGTAATAAAAAATTGATAGACGTCCAAAGAGTGAGATAGGGGTTTCGACCAAGGACACAGTAAACAAACACCGATAGAAGAGTCCATGGAAAGAAATAAAACGAGACGAAACTCGACTCATAATAACTAGTTAGGCAAGACAAACTAGATGAGTACCAGGGAAAAAAAACTGGATTTCATGCATAGGAGATAAGATTAAGACTCGTCTCAAAGCAAAGTGATGAGAGCGCATGTTTCTCAGAGCACTTGCTAGTCTAGGACCATGGATAAATAGTAAATGGAAACTGATAGAAGAATCTAAGGAACAAAGGAGACTGATCTCAACCAAGGACAGAGTTAAACGAACACTGCAAAAAGACTCGGTAAACAAAAACTGATAAAGGATTCAATAATCAAACACTGATGGAAGTCCAAGGTATGAAAACAAAACGAGATGACACTCGACTCATTATAACTAGTTAGACAAAACTAAACTAGATGAGTACTAGAGCAAAAACTGGATTTCATGCGCGGGTGAGGAGACAAAACTCAAAACTCGACCCAAAGCAATGTGATTAGGGTGTACTACTAAAAACCTTCTGAAAATAAACATCAGGATAAAATTGGTATTCAAAAGGTATATCAATAGACATTGGATTGGACCAACGAGGGTAGTAAAGACTAAACCCGAGAAACTGCACCGGGGTAAAACTGAACTATAATCAAGAGTAGACACTCAACCATTCAAATGATTAACATCAACATGATATTTGTATGGGGTGAACTGAGATACTGAGGATGAAGACCTCACCGGGGATATAATCCTAAGTTTTAGCAAATTCACTGGGGAAAACAGAAACAATAATGGCTTATGTTCCGATGCATGTTTGAATTTTTTTATAGCGTAATGCTCCATATAATGGAAATGCTACGCGTTTTGGTAGATGCAATGTAATAATGCATGTTTAAATGTTTCATTGGGGAATGGCCAATCGAGAAGCCAACAAACAATAGATCAAATCCTGACAAGACTCGCAAAAATAAATTGCAAAAATCTGTTGGAGAAGAGAAAATATAAGTAACCACTGGAAAAAAACCCTTAAGGAGATGAAACTCTTTGGGGAATAACAAACCAAGTAACCGGTAGAAACAAGCTAAAAACACTGAGAGGAGTTGCAAAAAATAAATTGTGAACTCTGTCGGAGAAGATCGGGTCAAAACTGTAATCTATGAAAAAAGGTGCCAATGAAGATTGGACGTTACCAGAGAAGATCAGGGCAAGACTGTAACTTCTGAAAAAGATGGTGTGCAACCGTGTTGAGGATGATACAAAGATAACAAACCAGACGTGAGAAGTGAAAACCTTGCTAGGGAAACTTCTGTCAGAAAATCCTGTACCGATTTCCAAAAATTAACATAATCTCAATTAATCGACCAACATCAACTATACTGGGGATAAGGAAAGATCCTTAAATAAGGATGCCCCAAGCAACAAATTATCTAGGAAATGAGAGATCAGGACGAGGAATCTCTGATTGGCAACTCCTCTAGGGAATTGAAACTTCTTCGGACTGTGAATTCTCATCTAAGCAACTCCGCTGGGGACATGAGACGTCTTCAAACTTGAAGTCTCAAAACGAAGCCTTTCTCTTGAAAAATATTTCTGGGTAACAAAATTCTGCTGAGGAAACAAAACTCCACTGAGGATACAAAACTCTGTCAGGGAGTATTTTACTGGGGATTCCAGAACCTTTGGTATGCAACCATAAAATAGACCATGAAGATAGTCAAACAGTATTAACTCTACCGGGGATACGACAATCTCAGCCAACATCAACCCTACTGAGAATGATAAAAGATTCTTTTGATATTAAATTCCCCAAGTCACAACTCAGATGGGAAAATGAGAATTTCTGAACGCAACCTTCAATGATAATTTAAATCGGAAGGTAAACTCTGTTGGGAACAGTCTTTATTAAGAAATGAGATAATGGTCATCCAGACTTGGTTGAGGAATGAAGGTATCCAACAACCTTATCCGCCTCAAGAATCTCTCACATGACAACGTTGGGGAGAAACAACTTTGCGGGAAATTCCCTATTCCAGAGTTCAAAAGTTAGAGGTAAGACTCTTGCATTGGTGCTGACAAGATGCAACTAATAGAGTGAACGACAATCCTACAAATAAAATCATAACACAAATTCCCCAAGTACGGCATGACAACCTTTGATCAAATTTCTTATTCAACTTGTTCATAGAGATTTTGTTGAATCTCGATGTAACTACTTCTTATTAATCAAACTTTGAGAAGATTTTCCTTGAGAGGACTTTATGGGACCTGTACCATCATTGATATGCTTCCCCAGAGTAGTGGAACTTTTGAGAGATTGATCCTCAACTTGACTGCCCCAGATTGACGAAACTTTGAGAGTCAATGGATCTTGACTTGATTGCCCCAGATTAGCGGAATGTTGGCAGACCACTTCCTTACCTCATGCTCATAGAGGAACGAGATGTTCATGGAGTTTGGAAGATAACACCTCCTCAGGATGATTGCTTACGTCTTCAAAATAAGCTAGTACACAATTATACTTCTCAACTTAAACTGCTTCGCGCTTAAGCGGATGCTTGAATAAAATTGGCCCTCAGGACCAATTTGAAAAGAAACACCATTACTTAACATAGATTTGGGGGTAGACAACTTCTACAGAATCATCAAACAAATAGTTCTTGATCAATCTCTCAAACTAGTCTTTTTTTAATTCAAAGGAGTAGCTAGAAATCATGCCCCAGATTAAGATCATTATTTTCAACAGATTCCTGAAGTAATTCGTCCCTCGGGATAATCAAACTCTTCATCTGATGCTCATTATGCAAGCTCGCTTGATGTTTAAGCACTTTTCATATGCAAAGAATGTTTTATCCTAATAATGATAAATCTAATGCAAATCATATGCTTGTCTTGAAGTTAGAAAACTTTTATTGAAAAGATGTTGAAACATCGAAATTTTTATGCACAAAGAAAATAAAAGAGGGAGTGATACCAACTCAAAAATCTTTTAGAAAGTCTCCTAGGAGTCAGGTTACTGTACTCTTGTAACAGTTTTGCTTTCAAATTAATCCATGCTTTAATTAGGACTTTTAAGGGTTGTAACGTGACTTGGTTCACGGTTTTTTAGAAAAAAAAGTTTTTAAGCCTCAAAATTATTTGGTTCCCACCCATTATCCATGATGATCTCCAGTCCTATATTTAGTTAACTCGATACGAGCACTCATATCTAAAAAAGTTTACGATGGTTGAGGAACCACAGTGATTTCTTGGACACGACAGTCACTTAACCTTTGGTTTTTGGGTGTTCGATCAAAAAACTTTTCTTTTGATGAGGATTTTTATGAATAATCCTTTTCTACCTTTCGGGATTTTCAAATTCTTTTTTTTCTTTTCATAACTTTTGCCTGGACAAATTCTTTTGAATTTCAATTTGGAAGTCTAGCAGGACGCCCTAACTTTTGCTTAAGCGACTTGTTTTCAAGTTTCGACTTAGCGGGGATAATTTTTTTCTTTATTATTCATACTTTCCCTTTTGAACAAGTCGTGTGACCCTAAGTCTTTGAACTTTTTGGAGGAAAGTGACTACCTCATTCCTTGGTCG